ACTCTTGTTTTTAGCATGTTCAAAATAAGCATGACGATGTCGCAAGGCTTCCCCATCATGAAGATCATATTGCGTTTGGTAAGACTCCACTACGTTTCTCTTGCTATTTGTCACGAGTGACAACATTTTCGGCAGTAGAAGCGGCATGTATGTGTGAACGGGGGTGAACATTTCAATATTTCTTTCGTATTTAAATTGTATTAACATGATGCATATGTTACGAAAGTTACAAATGAGTTTTTATATAACAATTTCATTTAAAAACTAAGCTACCCGATTGATCAGCTGTCAATTGGTTGCAAAAAAGGGCCGCTTACCGAGATGTTAATGTTACTTGCTAGTCTCCGATTTTGTCCTAGATAAAGAAAATATAAATTGTGTATGCTGAACGTAGGCATGGAAAGCAATTTGATGTTGATTTCTTTACCTATTAATAGGATTTTCGTAAATTTGAATTGTTCAAAGAGAATGTATATATACATGTACATGTAGTTAGAGTTAATATTTCTATTAAACTGCGCTGTGATGTAATCCTATACTTGTTGGCAAAACAATACTTGTTATCAAGGTTCATTAAACCCCAAAATTGCTATATTTTTTTAACATATGAAGTAATTTTACGATCACGATAAAAGAAGTCCGAATACTCATTCCAGCGCGGAAGAATACAGGGGCTTTCCGTCTGGTGATTTAAACGCAGTGGTTCAGCATAACGGAAATGTTTCCTTCTATATTCCAAGATGATTACAAAATCGTTCGGCTTCTTCAATGATAGGGATGTAACAGCAAAAGCGGAAATCACGTGCACTCTCAAATATAGCTAATGGACCCGGTCAGTATTAGTTTTGGACATCGAAAAGATTTTGAGCCACACATATTGTATAACAGCAACCCGCACTCCGTACGAATGTTGCCCACTCAGAATTGAGTACAAGCTCACCATTTTACCATTGTAACTTTACACGGATCCAGCACTGAAAATAAGACGACAAATTGAAGCTAAAACTCTGTAATATTAAAGTGGATCTAAAAGAGGAATATGCATGTGTTCTTTTTCTTAAATTTGTGTGTTCTTGTTAAAAACTATTTGGAATAAGAAATAATTGAAATGTTTCATTTTTATCTGTACATAGCGATTGATTGTATTATAAACAGTTTAACAGCGTAAGATGCATGTTATTTGAATTCCTTTCTGAGCAAACTAAAATTTAGATATAAATACTAATTAAGAAATATACAATATAGAGTATGTCCAATACGTTGACACAACTTGTTGATAAAGAAATACTTTTTAGAAAGGTGTTCATTTTATTCCCATCGGAGGTATCAGATAGCAAAATATGATATCATAGCAAACTACTTGTTAACAAAGGCTAATTTTCCATTTTCCAATTTATTGGTTGTTCCACACTAGTTTGTATTTTTCGGACGAAGTCTGTCTGAGAACGGTTTGAATTACGTTAAAATTTACAGGGAAGAACTGGATATAATCAGGATTTTCATTGGTCATTTTAAAATTACAAACTGTAATTGAGGAATCACATTGGCCATTTTAAATTAGTAAAATTTCTGAAACGCATAAACGTCTAAATTAATTTATTTAAGGAGTGTCAGAAACAAGTTCTAGTTTTCTGTGGGTGCTAGCTTCCTCCTATTAAAACATTTTTACAAAATTTTACTTTCTTTATTTTTCTAGTAAACCCTTATTCAACCTAAGACATTATAAATGACATTCAATAATTTTTGGCTAAAATAATGAGACTACCAGTAACGTCCACAAATACCGAAGACTTATTAGCATGAAAATGCCGAAAGGCACAAAATATATATTTTTTTAAAAATCAAACTTTCCTAGTACTCTCAGTTGACTATTTTCAGCGTTTATGGTATTAAATAATACTGATGTATTTAATCCATATACATTTCATAATTTCCATGTATTTTTCAATAGTAATGAAGCATATATAATAACGTTTACAGGAGTGTGTGTATATGTAAGGTACACTTACCGAAGCATGGCAGGTTCATTTAGTAACATATCTCGCAGTTTTTTCTAGATCTAATCATTAAATGTATGCTATGACAAAACTTCGAAATAACCTATGCAAGTAAAAGCAGTTTTACCTCGTCCGAATATTTTTGTAAAGATATTTCTTGTTTATATTTATGCTGGAGCCGGTGAGAAATTTTTATATATACCTTTACAGATTATCAGTGAACTCTTTGGTAAAAAAAATGTGTAGCCCCTAACATCTGGTACCTTAAATGCGTTGATGTTACTGCGCGAAAAAAATGCATTAATCCTCGATTTACTCCGTCATCAACATCATAAAAGTTTTTGCACTGTGACAAATGGGACATGCGATGGAACAGAGGTGACATTTGTGCGTTTTATTTATTTTGTGCGCACGAGATAGTATCTCGTGCCCACCACTTAATTATCTCGTGCGCACGATTTGTTACTAGAGGCATGGACATAGTATCTCGTGCGCACGAGATGAATAAAAACACACACACACACATGTCATCTCTGTGTCACCGTAGGTTCATGATCGGATATAATCTTTTACAAGCCTTCTTGCATAAATGTTGAAAAACAATTAAGGGATCACGTGGTCTGGCTTTGGTACATGGAGAGGCACATGATCTGTAAGAGGCAACGTGTTGGTTTATTAGATGTTGTTTAAAGCACAGGAACTTGAAATTCTATCAAATAACCAATATTAATTATAATATCCAAATATACCCCCTATATACTATAAAAAAACTATATAGTATATAGGGGGTATATTTTGCATATTATCGTTAATAGTGATAGAATTTCAAGTTCCTGTGTTTAAAGCCAGTCAGTTGTTAAAGACAAACAACACACAAAGACGAAATTTTTTTTCAAGTAATTAGCCACTGTATACAAAAGAAAAGGCATGCGTGTTTCATTTTTTAAGAAACTAAATGACTTATTTTAAAGTGTGTATGTGGATGTCAGCCACCGCTGCTTGCTTGTCGAACTTGTTTTTGGACCCGAGATGACTGTGGCAGTTATCTAAGATTTCTCTTTCGCAGACTACTTCAGAATCATAAATCTTCTCATAATTCAAACTTTCTAAGAAACAAAGCTCTACCCATATACACACTGTTTGCCTTATTTACCAGTCTTCATTTTTTATAAATCCAATCCGGGTTCATATTTGACAAGGGACGTAACCTGTACACTTACTATTACCAAGGAAATTAAAGTTGTGTCCCTTCTTTTAAAAATGTCTCGTGTCACTCAGTCACACTGATTATATTTACAGGCGTACGGCACATTTGCTATGCTAATAATGGTAAAATTATCATGAAATTTATAACCCCATGATCATTAAGAACAAAATTACTATCCAGCACCCGTTTACCATATAAAATATATACTATAAATTACTATCCAGCACCCGTTTACTATATAAAATATATACTATAAATAACTATCCAGCAGCCGTTTACTATATAAAATACATACTATAAATTACTATCCAGCACCCGTTTACCATATTTATAAAATATATACTATAAATAACTATCCAGCACCCGTTTACTATATAAAATACATACTATAAATTACTATCCAGCACCCGTTTACCATATAAAATATATACTATAAATAACTATCCAGCACCCGTTTACTATATAAACTATATACTATATAGTATATATTTTATATAGTAAACGGTTGCTTGATAGTAATTTTGTTCTTGATGATCAAGTGGTGATTATTTTATGATAATTTTACGATTATTGGCAGGGCAAATGCGCAGTACGCCTGTTATATTCAAAGGCGTTCAAAATTTTACTAATTTAAAAGAGTATTTTGTGCTACATATTATTAGAGGTTAATCATAAACAAAAACAATGCGTTATAAATTTAACGAAGAGTAACACTATTCAAATCAAACTAGATCTATAGCTTTTTGTGTGTTTTGTTTTTTTTATACTATACTTTATGAAATAAATGATGATGATAATGATGAAGGTGATGATGATTGTGGTGGTGGTGATGGTGGTAACAATGATGCTGAATGACATCTTTGCTAACGATGATGATGATGGTGATGCTGATGCTGATGCTGTCACAGAAGAAGATGATGATAACATAGAAGATAATCTATGATCGATGGTGGCGGTGATTATGATGATGATGATGATGATGATGACATCGACGACGACGATGATGATAGTCTTGATTATAAGGAGGAGGAAACGGGGAGGATAATAATTTCTAAAATAAAAAAATATATATAAAAATATAATATATAGATCTTAACAAAGTTATACATTGTATTATAATACAAAAGAACATTCGAACATGTTTAGTACCGGTGGTTGACCTGTCTATTTAATTATAACAATTAATTCAAGCAGACTATTTTCACAAATAAATCTACGTTGTTAAACACGTCATTTATACCGTTTGTGCAGGATATAAGAGAAACGCTAATTTTGTTGACCGCATTTTTCTTTGTTTGTTATTTTACTGACGATGGGAATTCCACAATAAGAAAATCTAAATATAGATTGTTTCCAAGCGCGTTGGGGAATTCCAAATCGATATGCAGGCGCCATAGATGCTTTTCCTCAAATAGAGAGGCTCTTTAAGGATATTTAGTATCACTGTAGTCCGATAATTTTTTCCGAAAAATTAAGAGTAAAAAAAATCTAAACAATCTGACGCGATTTGTTTGTGTGCTTTTACATGTCAAGGGAAAAATATTTTACAAGCTGTAACAACAGTACCATTGTTAATAACGGATTTCAATTTTATCGCAACTATAGCTGTATGTCCATACGACGCAGAGCATCTTCAAAAATGACCCTATGTCAAAATAGGATTGAAAATGTGAGTAAACATTATACGTTTGTAAACATTTACTTACTTTACTTACTTACGGGAGAACTACTTTGAGAGTACTACATTAGAGCTACTCTCAGCGATATACATATGATTTTCCCTGCTGGAGGCCTCTATGATGTCTCTGCGTGCAAGCGGGATTTCCCGGTGATGCGATAGATCAATACGATTAATACGTCTATTCTGTCATAACTTAGTGAATGAAACGCTTGTGAAATGAACTTGTGTTTACTGCACTTTGAAGATTACCGTGATTTTATTTACGTGTCAGAACTTTTGTAAGAGTGGACTTGTGATTAAACTTCGTGAAATTATTTTATTCTATAATTGTGTTACCATGGCGACAGAAAGGAAAGAACGGGAGTCATTTATTGGCAATGATGTCCAAACACAACAAAGGTTAGTTTGATTGTATATAGTTCAAGTTTAGATGCATTAATGTGTGTACACACATTGGTCCAGGTTACACATTCCTGACAAACGACATAATTTGTTAATGTACACATTTAAGCAAGTTTATTTATTTTATGCTTTAATGATTACGGTTTAAAAAGTCTTATCGGTTAATTTGTCACATTTTATGTAGCAAAATCGATAGTAACGATTACATAATATTTTATATTACATTGTTATATTGTTTACTATATAGATCTATTGTGCTTACAATTGACTTTTTAAATTTTAGCAGTTCAAATGAAATTTAAAAAAAAAAATCTCCGCTCAAAAAAAAAATGAATTTTGAATAAAATCATAAATAAGAGCTCTCAGTTCATTTATTATTAAACCATTGAAAAGATTTGGCATCAGTCCATTTCAAACTGTAATTGAAGTAAGTTAATTTCACGTGAGTACAGTTAACCCACATATTTTCCACTTGAGAAGGTAAATAAAAAAAAACATGTATACAGTTCATTCATTATAAGCGTAAACATGTAATGTATACATGTACACTGATCCTTCAAATAAACATCAGTGTCCATTTTCATTCAGGATTTCAACAAGTGTTTTGATATTGTTTATAGTTAAATGTTTAATACATTTATAAGTGTTTTGTCAAGTTAAACGTAAACAGAATTGCTTGTTAAACACAGATGACTCACTGAAATTGCCTTTTAAACTCACAACCTAAATATTTAAGAAAGTTGTGACCTGAATTAAGTGACTTCATAATGAAAAGGATATTAATGGGCTGCTAGGCTGCCAACTTCACGAACATAGGATATTACAATCATTTTTGTGTTGTTATATTTTAAAACTAAATTTCATTTCAAATTTGGAGAAAACATACAAATGAATTTATTTAACCTGAACTTTAAAGGCAGCAAGTTAATTATGGAACTCTTTTCAGTCATGAGTGTACAAATACATGTATGTACCTCATTTGTGTGCTAAAAAAACCCTTATTCCCGTTAACCTTATCTGGGTCTGTAGAAGATAATACGGTAGCCCCGGGTGTGCTTTCTCCTTTTCCAATCAATGATAAATTGGTTAATGACGTCGACAACGTATATGTTTTCGTTTGTTCTCCACCTCTATTATATAACTTAATGTGTAGAAGTTGAAAGTTCCATGGGGAGAAATGGTCACCACTGTTGCAAAATACTGGACCCTAGTCCGGTAGCTGCTGCAATTGTATGAATTAAACAAATATTAAAGCAAATTAGTCAAAAGAGATTTCACCCTGACACAGAATTTCAATGAAGAATTTACATTTACTCCTTGCATAACTAGATCACATGAAGCAAATGAAGCAAGTTCTCTATAAAATACGTTGTTATCAATTTACTTAAACATTTTATTGCGATTTTAGTATCTGCACGAAATTTTCGTGCTCATATATGCAGATGCGGAGACTGAGATCTGTACCAGTGTTCCTTTGTTTACAATTATCCTGAAGAGGCGTTATATTATTGTAAACACAAGAAAAGAGTTTTCAAGTAGTAAAAGAAAACTACCTGTCTGATGCTCTACTTTGATGCACGAATTTCTACTGTTAGGCTAAATCTAACAGCGAGTCTGCTTTTTTCGGCTCTGTCTAACGTAGTAACGTGTCGTTTATGTTGTAATCTGTTCTTAGGACAGATTTCACTTCACAAAATGATTGAAAAACATGTATAGAAAATCGTTCTAACTATGACATATTGTTGAAAAATAAACAATTTAAACAATTCACTGTACTATATAAACAAGACGTTTTCAAATAGGAAATTCATTTTTATTTGGTAAAATATCATTAAAGACGAAATATTTTCACATTATGTTAAGCATTATTATCCCATAAACAAATATTTAGTTAATTTAGTCGATAATCCGTTTGCTAACTGAGTCAGCTAGTATGTATGGTGGTATAGGTGGTGGTGGTGGTGGTGGTGGCAGTTAACCCTCCGGTTTAAGGCAGTTTACCCTCTGAATCAAGGCAGGTACCGGTAGTAACTTTGAATTCACCGAAGTTCAGTCACCCAGGCTATCCGTGTAACTTCACTTTCACAAGGAGCTGAAAACTTGTTTAGATGCCAAAGAATAGGTACAGTGCGAATGGCAGAATAAAGGATTTCATGATTAATCACAATAACATTGGCCTGCACCGTCCGGGAATCGAACCTAGGCCGCCCGATTCACGAAGGACAGTGCAACATATTATTTTTATATTACCTTTATTTTGAAAGTATCATCCTCAAAACGAGTTCCTTATTTTATTTGAGAAGCGGCTTAATGGAGGATTGAACTTGCAACCTATGTATTAGCAGCCAAACGATATTATCCCTTGACAACTGCGCCTGCTTTAACAACGGTGATTACCCGATGTATTACGTTTTATAAATAAACTACTATAAGTTCTCCCGGATATATCCGGAATTCATCGGCATGCTTCGTTGAAGGGCTGTTATTACTTATTACGGTATTTCACTTAAATTTACATAATATTTGTGTACTGTGAAAATACTTCTAAATTTAGTGACAGAAATTTACCAATATCAACCCCTCAATACATGAAAATTTGCTTTTTAGTAAAAAAACAACAACAAAAATCAGGCATTATTTTAGAAAACAATAAAACATACCGGTTTGAATATAAAAACTTATTTTCAAAAAAAAACAACAACAATAAACATGAGATATTTTAGCTTATTTCGCTTCTATATTCTATAAATTTAGGATACATTGTTAATATAAATGCTGGAGAAATTATATGTTATTTTCACATATTTGTGAAATAGTTTCATATTTAAATACCACGAAATTGTTCAGAGAAGGGCACGTTGACCTTCCGTTATAGTGCACGTGTATCTCGTATCCGGTTTACCTGATATGTTACCAACAGTTCCTTCCGTTACCTGGTAGTATCTGACCGCTTCCCATTTTTACTTCGGTCAGAAATAATGATAGACATTCAATTTAAAGATACAAAAGAAAACGAATAGTTCAAACACAAAAGAAGTGAAATACCCGGAAGGTCCGAACACAAAAGAAAGGGAAGTTCAAAAATGAAATCAATTTAGGACTGCTAATTAGATAAACTTTTGAAGTATTTGGTCTAATGAACAGTGAACTTTTCGCTCTAACATTGACATCAGCATTTATAATTTCCCGAACAAAAACTGGACGCAGTGGTAATCTTAGGTGTTTTGAACTCTTGTTTCTGGTCATTTCGTTTATTTTTGTTCATTTCATTTAAACATGACGTGAGAGTTGATTGCTCTCCGCAGTAATTGTGTGTTTATGTTAATTATCGACGCTGATGTAAATATGTTGTTAAACAATGTCTCGAAATAAAGAGACTCAATTATCATGCGTAATATTCGATAGTTATTATATGTACAGAAGTACGGAATACCGTTACGGCCATCGCTTATAAAAGACAGTCTAAAATTCGAAATCTCGAAAGTATGATGACGACTGCGAAATAGCGACGAAAACTTGCAACACGATAACACAATGACAAAATCTTCAAAACTTCGAAAATAAGGTGACTAAAATGCAACACTGCGAAGGTAATATTTTGTCGCGTGGCAAGTGCTTTCATTTAATAGCGAGAATATCTATTGCACTAACACGCTTCCGTGATTTTAATTGGTCTAAATATAAACAACCCTGCTTTTCTTCAAAGTGTGGAATAAATATGAATAGATATGTTTAAGTTCTTCGAAATCTGCAGAAAATGGGATCAAGGTCAACACCGATGAAGTTAAAATCAAATCGATGTTTACTTCAGGTCCTTATTGTCACAGAAATGTCTTCACCATACATCGAAATATGCCAGCGAAGACAACTCGGCATTATGTTGCATCGCGCAGGCCGGAACTGTTGCCTCTCGCAGACCGGAATTGTTGGCTCTCGCAGGAGGGAACTGTTGCCTCTCGCAGACCGGAACTGTTGCCTCTTGGAGGCCGGAACTGTTGCCTCTCGCAGACTGAAACTGTTGCCACTCACAGGCCGGAAATATTAAAACTCACAGGCCGGAACTTTTTCACATTAGAAATAGAAAAATATATACTAGTATTTAAATTTAAAGAAGGTCGGTAGTTTGACGGTGTATTGAATAAAACCTTTTCTTCCAATCGAAAGTACTGAAACATTTATACTAGTATAGATACGGTACTATATCTATAACTATTGCCTCTCGCAGGAGGGAACTTTTGCCTCTCGCAGGAAGGAACTATTGCCTCTCGCAGGTCAGAACTATTGCCTCTCGCAGGAGGGAACTATTGCCTCTCGCAGGAGGGAAAAATTACCTCTCATAGGCCGAATCTGACGAACTCGCAGATCGTAAATTTTGCCTCTCGCAGGTCGGAATTACTGGAGGGAACTATTGCCTCTCGCTGGTCGGAACTGTTGCCTCTCGCAGGAGGAAACTATTGCCTCTCGCAGGCCGGAACTATTGCCTCTCGCAGGAGGGAACTATAGCCTTTCGCAGGCCGGGACTGTTGCCTCTCTCAGGCCGGAACTGTTGCCTCTCGCAGGAGGGAACTATTGCCTCTCGCAGGTCGCCGGAACTGTTGCCTCTCGCAGGAGGAAACTATAGCCTCTCGCAGGCCAGAACTGTTGCCTCTCTTAGGCCGGAACTGTTGCCTCTCGCAGGAGGGAACTATTGCCTCTCGCAGGCCGGAACCGTTGCCTCTCGCAGGAGGAACTATTGCCTCTCTCAGGTCGGAACTGTTGCCTCTCGCAGAAAGAACTATAGCCTCTCGTAGGCAGGAACAGTTGCTTTTTGCAGGCCGGAACTGTTGCCTCTCTCAGGCCGTAACTGTTGCCTCTCGCAGACCGGAACTGTTGCCTTTTGCAGGCCTGAACTGTTGCCTCTCGCAGACTGAAACTGTTGCCACTCACAGACCGGAAATATTAAAACTCGCAGGCCGGAACTTTTTCATATTATAAATAGAAAAATATATATTTAAATT